CATCAGAAAAAAAATGGATCATGCATCATTTCATTAACAGCCTTTTACAATGAGTTAGACACTCAGAGGAATTATTCAATAAGTGTTTACAAGTAGTTCCAAGAGCATTTTTGGAAGATTTTTGGAAGTCCCTGTTACCAAACTGGAAGCAGTTAAAGTGCCTTTACTAAAACAAACAAACAAACAAAAAACAATCAGAAAATTTGCAAAGGATAAGGAAATACAAATGTGGTTGAGCTTACAACATTTGCTGTTTGATCATTAAGTGCACTTTTCAAGTTCATATATTTTTATGGGATTGTTTCCCCATTCTGGAATGTATCCAATAACCTATTTCTTTCAAACTAAGCAATAAAGGCACAGAAAGGTTGTTTTCTATGGTTTGTGTGTGTGTGTATGTGTGTGTGAGAGAGAGAGTGGGGGGGGAGAGGGAGAGGGGGAAAGAGGGAAAGAGAGAGAGAGAGGGATGAAATTCAGTTAAAGTGCAAAATGCAGTTATTAGTACTGTTCAATATGGAGCTCCAGAACCATGAGTTCTTTACATCTTTTATCCTGTTAACCATTTGGAGACGAGACAGCAAGCAAAGTTTCCTTGTTTGTTCTTCTCTTTAGCTCTGCTTGGTTTTCCGCCAGTTCTCTTTGTCTCAAGTAGAAAGTACTTTAAGTCTACTTTAAAGCCAAATTAATTTTATTAACTAGCTTAACTTTATTTGACAGTGTTAGCTATTGCTAATAACAAGTCACTTATTGCTTTAGCTTCAGGATATCCTTCCCCGGTAAGAAAGAGATCATCAGCAAATATTCTTATGCCGCTAGCTTTTGATTCTCCATATTGGAACGTTTCAGAAGCTATGGATGTTGATTACAAGTTTGTGTATTAGCCAAAAGGCTTTGGGTTGGTTGGTTAAGTGGTTAAGTAGCTTGTCTTCTTGTTCAACCCACTTTTGTTGAATGTCAAATAATAATAAAAGTATTTTTCCAAGAGGGAAAAATCCCATGTAGCGAATAGTGATTCTGCTTTAGTATCTGTTCAAAGATTTGAGATCTATTCAAAAGGATTGTTTTTCAGGGAGTTTAGACCCTATAACCAAGTTTCTAATCCATGTTGTTTTGGTGTCCATCAGAATTATAACCTATTTGCTGCTTTAATGGTTCCTCCTCCTTTTAGGAACCTAAACCATTAGGAAGTTTTCATGCTAGAATATATGTCAAGTTTAAGTTTTCCTACCAAATGTCCTTCCCTGAAAGACATTTTTAGACTCTTGCCATATTGTCTCTATAGTCCCAGCAGCCACATGACAGTGCTCATTAGTTTGCGCCGCATGCAAGATATTATGATATCGTAATGCAATCAATTTCATGGGCTGCATTGTTTTGCTTCCCAGCAGAGGTTTAAAGGCCTCCCCTCCCACAATAATAAATTCCAACTGATAGACCTCTTGGGTTGCAAAGTTTAATTCTGTGTTTCCCCATTATTTTTAGAGTACGCTTGTTAGAGATTAAGACTACCTGGTAGCATGGAGCAATAATTATCCCTACAGGGATGAAACACTGTGAAAGCACATTGCAGGTGGTGCAAAAGTCCAAGTAATAGTGAACAGATTGTAAACAATTCTGTGAGTTACATCTACCTAACTAATAATGCTTATGGTGTGTACCTCTAGGTCTGGGACTACTACAGAGAAGCTCTAAGCACCAATATTATAAGAATGATTCAAAGAACTGAAATAGGTTCAAAGGAAGGGAATGAGGATGATCAGGGTACTTGAAACCCAGTCCTAGGAAGATAAATTCTAGAGAGTAGAAATGTTAAGTCTTGAAAAGAAAAGGATGGTGCCAGGAAGGGTATCTTAGTGCTCTTGAAATACCTGGAAGGGTGACAACCAGAACATCAAGGCTTGTTCTCTATCCTTCCAACAGGTAAATTCTAAAATAATAGTTTTAGGAAGACAGATTTTGCCTTCCACTTCAATATAGATGTAAAGTGCCTGCAGGGAAGGCTGAAGCAAAGATGGCAAGAAACAATAAATGCAGACATGAAAAATGCCCCAGTTGGACCCAGATACTGTCTTTGATAATGCAAAATGGCACTTGGTCTTTGTTAAAGAAATAACTACATATAGCTTACTCAAAGTGCAGTTAGACTCATCTATTGAGTTTCTTTGATTACAACTGACTGCTGCCATTGATGAATAAGAAAAGGCTTTGTTAACTTCTTTGTTAATGATATGTCAAAAGGTTTATATGGTTGCACAACAAGATGTTGGACATGCAATGTATGATAGCTCATTAACCTCAGTTGCCAGAGAAGATACCTACCTGTGCTTCCCTCTATGACCAGCTTAGGGGAAACATAATAGCCATGAAATGCTCTTTCCAATTCTTCCTTCAGCTCTTTACATTGACAGGATGCTCAATTACATCCTCCCAAATACCAATATGCAGCAGATTTCCAGGCATGATGGCAGGCAGAAAATTAAATATTTGTTTACCTCTCCACTTTGCTCCTATTGTGTTTCTTACTGTCTGACAGCTTTCCCTGAGAACCTGGCATGAGATACACAGTGGAGTTGGGGCTAACATATCATACCCTGTCATTCATGAGCCCACCCAAGTGATCTCTTTTATGAACAGTGTGCATTACATGTGGACAGGCCATCTCTAATGCACCCAAATAAGTTTCTCATTATAAGCTGTGAAGTCATGGACATTCAACTTTCTACTGGTGAAGAAAAAGGTTTGGCCCCAACTGGTCTTTATTGTGGAGAAAAGGCTGAGATGTTTATACTTGACACTCGATTTTGCACAAAGCATAAGCCACCTCTGGGCATGTACCTTTTTCTCATTTTCATAACTCATTCTGGGCTAACTAGATGTAAGACATCATCAGAACAACTTACAGCTGAAGGGCAGTGAACTCTGCATGCAGTCTAAAGTAGACATAGACATTGGGATCATCCAAATAATTTAGGAGGAAAATGTTTTTGTGCTTCACCAAAATAGCCACCAGAAATTTGAAGGAAACAGCAATGGAAAAGGTCCATTGTTTTTTGTTTGTTTGTTTGATGAAAAGGGTTAAACACAGGAGTCTGGGTGAAAGCATGAGGTGTGGCAAACATGTTTTTGGAATATGGGAAGGGGCTGTGGAGATGAAAGTATGGAAGAGGTGTTTATCAGACAGAACAGAATAGGGACTGTAGAGATCTTCTCATCCAACTCCCTACTTGAATAGAAGATCCTATACTAGGGGTGGGCAAACTACGGCCCGTGGGCCACACCCGGCCCGTTGGTCTTTTTAATCTGGCCCGCCGAAGATTGGTACAGAATTAAGGTTTGATGTGAATGATTGAATGATTGCATTCATTTGATTTTGACTTATAATGACAGGCATTTCAACACCAGGTGGTGGCCCGTCTGTCAAATTTTAAAAGTCAATGAGGCCCCCGAGCCAAAAAGTTTGCCCACCCCTGCCCTATACCAATGACTGGACAGAGAATTGGCTGTCCAGTCTCTTCTTAAAAGCCTCCAGTAATGGAGCACCCACAACTTCTGAAGGCAAGCTGTTCCACTGATTAATTGTTCTCACTGTTAGGAAATTTCTCCTTAGTTCTAGGTTGTTTCTCTCCTTGATTAGTTGGTTGACCCTCTCATCTTTGTAGGAGCACCTTAGATAGGGGCTACAAAGAATATTTAAACCATATCTTCTTTTTATATGTGAATGATCAGTCTAATGGAGCCAATGAAAACAGTGAGTTAAAAGTGTGTCTTGTTTGTTGGTAAGAATAAAAAGTGCCATGTGACAATAATAAACTAATGTAAAGGCTAACATGTTTCCAATGAAGCTCTTTTTAAAGAGTTCTCTTCTTTACAAAAGAACATCGGTTTATTTTAATTTTCTCTGTGGTAGTAGCTGTTTTTATAAAACATGTATTAAGGAAATTTGCAGCTAAGGGAGCTATTTCACAAGGAAAGGAGAGGCACTATAGAGATTGCCAAATTCATACTTGTTGTAGAGACACTTTTTTCTCTCTCTCTTGCAATATTAAAAGTGATACCCTCAAATTCAAAGAAAGAGATTCAGAACTGACAGAAGCAAACAAACAAACAGATGCTTATAAAAACACACATACACAAATATTTTTATATTATAAGCAGTGCATAGTTAAAGCTTAGGTACTAAAATTGATCTTTGATATATAAGAAGCCAATTACAATTTTACATTTGATACATATTAGATTTACAAAGCCAAATTGTATACAGTTTTAGATTTTTAAAATAACATTTATATTTTATTTATTTACTTACATTATATAAAACCCTTACAATTTTTAGCATGCCAAAGTAAAACTGAAGACCAATCAGTCTGGAAAGAATCTATGTAGGCAATCACTAAGACTTAACACCAACTTGAAGGCACTCAATCAATCAATCATATTGTTTTCATACATTTTCCTATAATATTTATTAAAGATACTATTGGTTATACAATTTCACCATTTTAACATGTTAATGGTTGTCATCATCTAACCATACTATTTTTGTTATTGGGAAGATAAAAGAAGAGTGATATAGTAATGGTACAACCTGCTAAATGTTCATGAAACTGCAATCTTAATATATTTTAAGTGGATATATTATTTTGAGGAACAATAAAAAATTTACTGTGTCAAAGGAGGAGTTACTTATTATAAATTTAACTCATTTTTATTAAAGTGAAAAAAATTCCCAAATCTTCCAAGTACTGTACAGTCATATAATATATCCATCATTCTGACCATTAGTTTGGAATACTTAGCATAAGAAAGAAAATTTTGCTCCTTTAAAAATAAAATGTTGCTTTGGTGGTATTGGAAAATCCTAACTGTTTAGATTACATTGGTGAATGTATCCCTAATTGTAATCATTTTCCTTAATAATCATATCATTCTCCTCTAGCTATTGGATGATCTCACTTCATTGCTGGCTATTTTACTTGTAAAGATCTTTCTTTATTTTCCAGGAGTGATGGGAGAATATGAACCAAAAATTGAGATCCATTTTCCATTCACAGTTACAGCTGCTAAGGGATCTACTGTTAGGATGGAATGCTTTGCACTGGGCAAGTAAGTATACATTCTTTCATAATTTATTTTAAAATCTGAAATCATTCATTTAGCTGATAACATGTATGTATGTATGTATGTATGTATGTATGTATGTATGTATGTATGTATAGATAGATAGATAGATAGATAGATAGATAGATAGATAGATAGATA